TTTCATTGGCGCAGGCGGGCTAGAACCCGGGTTGCTCGCGTACCGTGAAATTTACAGTGAGCGTTTAGGCCCTGGGTTACCACGGCTTATAAAGATATTACTCTATTCTTTTTCTCGGTTTAAAGAATTTTATTTCTCATAAGAACATACAATGGTTCACTTATAATGAGATACAAAGTAATTATTATAATTTGATAATATTATCACATCTACCTCTAGTGCTGGAAGCGATATAGTCTTAGGTTATGCACTTATACGTATTAGGTACCATGTGTTAAAAAGATTACAATGTGCGTACGTATTTCCTAAGTTTACTTTTAAACAATTTCATGCTGTTGCAGTTTTTAATGTCATCTGGTAATTTATTGAACAGCTGTGCTCCCTCAAACAATAGGGTTTTTTTGCCATAATTAGTTCGTGCAGTCATTAGTTGGAGTTTATTTTTACTTCTTAAGTTGTGTGTTGTTGTTGTTTTATGTAACTGTAGGTTTGATTGAATAGAATTAGTGGTTATATTTTTTATTAGGTTGCAAGTGCAATAGGTATAAAGTTGTGTAAGATTTAGTAAGTTAGTTTTTTCGTATAATACTTTTGTTGGAGTTAGATAATGGTAGTGAAATAATGCTTTAATAATTTTATTTTGGGTTCTTTGAAGTGGATCTAGATTAGTTTTAGCGGCTGATCCCCATATTTCAATTAGATATTCGATATGCGATTTAACTAAAGAGTTGTATATAACTGTACGTGCCTTTTTCAGAATACAATTTGCGACTTTACGTAATGCACCTAATAATGACATCAGTTTTGATTTGACATGATTAATATGCAGTCTCCAAGTGAGTTTGTCATCTACCAACAGGCCTAGATATTTTTCCTGACTTGAACGTTTTATTATTTTATTATCAATAGTAAGATGTGCAAACTCTGGTAAAGGTTTATTCTTTGTGGAAAAAATCATAAATGATGTTTTTGAGGTATTAATTGTTAGTAGGTTATATTTTAACCATTCTCCGAGTAGTTCAAGATCTTTTTGAGCATAAGTTATAATGTTGTTAATAGATTTATCGAAATAGAAAAGACATGTGTCATCGGCGTACAAGGTAAGGTGTCCTGTTAGCCCTATTTTGTTTAAATTATTTATATAAATTAAAAAAAGTAATGGATTGATAATTGAGCCTTGAGGACAGCCGTACGATACATTTTTTTAGCTTGTTGCCTATTTTGTAGATATGATGTGAATATTTCGAGGGCCTTGCCTGTAACACCTATGTTGTTTAGTTTCTGCAGTAGCTTATGATGGCTTACTGTGTCAAATGCTTTTTTATGTCAATAAAAATCCCCTTAGCAAAATTCCTTAGATCGATACGAGTTTTCGTATTTGTGATTAAGTCTACTGCAGCTGTGAGAGTGCTCGATTTCGATCGAAAGCCATATTGTTGGTCAATGAAAAACTTCTTTTTTATTAAGTAATCGTTTAGGCGAGTATACATGACTCGTTCAAATATTTTTGATAAGACAGGCAAGACAGACACTGGCCTATAGTTACTTGGGTCAGTCCTATTACCGGATTTGAAGATAGGACTGACCTTAGCAACCTTTAGCGTGTCGGGAAAAACACCGCGTGTTAAACACGCATTTATACAATTCGTTAACCTTTCTACAATTATGCTTTTTAGGCATTTAATCGCTTTGGTGCTTATACCATCTAGACCAGTACTAGTGTTGCTATCGAGATCATCGATTATTTTTGATACTTCATTAGTGGTACAAGGTATGAGTTCGCTTAGTGTAATTTCGTGTGTATAGTCACGTTCGTACATGGGGTGTTACCAGTGTTTATGTGATACATATTAGGAATGTTGTTACTTGGCTAACAACATTCCTAGCCTATTGAGGAGAAAAATAAGTTAAATAATTCACATATTGAGTTACCTTCTGTTATGAGTCCCGCGTTCGACATTAGTTTGGGAGGAGCACTGCTGTCTTTAATTTTATTTAATGCTAAGTTATTAATTATCTCCCACATTTTCTTAGGTTTATTGTAACTGTTATGGAACAAGTTATGGTAGTAGATTTACTTGTGTGTTTTGATAAGATTTTTGACTTTGTTCTGTTCTTTATTTAAGGTTTTTTGTAGGTTATTATCTTTTGGGTGAGATTTAGTCTGCTGCCATAAGTTGTTTCGTAAATTTATTGAATTTATAATATCTCGGTTTATCCAGTCGTTTTGAGGTGGATTTAATAATTTTTGTTTTTTTTTTTTTGTTTATTTGTTCTAACATAAATTTCTCTAGGTAGTAAAAGTCATTATCTTTATTATTATATTGAGCTATTAAAGTAGTATAGTATAATTTTTCATAATCAATCGCTTTATATTGAATTCTTTTGTGTGTTCTTGTTGCCAAGTTGCCTATTTCGAGAAATATCTGCTTGTGATCAGATAGGCAAGATTCAATTATCGAGAGGCTAAATGAGTGATTGTTTATATTCGTACATACATAGCTGTGCTTGTGGTGCTGGTTTCACGAGTACTGTATAGTCTATTAATTTTATTCAACATTTCATATCCACTTTCTTTTATTTCAGTTAGGTATTTTGTAACGTTGCTATCTGTACTAAGTAGATCAATATTAAAATCTCCAAACACAATCGCCCTTCTTCTCCGTTCCAATTGTGAGGAATATGTATTTAAAAAGTTGTTTACGTTAGAACTTCCAGGTTTGTATATTGCTCCGATGGTCAAAGATAGTTTATCTATATATATATCCATAAGTAGTGGTTCCCATTCTCACATAAATCTTCCGTGATATCGTATTTTATGCTATTATTTACGTAAATTGATACGCCACCCCCTTTGTAATTTTGTCTATAGTTGTAAATATGTTTATAGTTAGGTATCTGATATAGTTTTGCGTCGGCTTCCGAAGAAATCCATGTCTCAGTAAAGATAAATAAGTGCGTAGTCATCGATATTGCTTTTAATATACATTTTATTTCATCTAGTTTACCAGCCTTGCGAATACTACGTAAATTAGTATAGAAAAATCTTAATGAGGACGGGTGCAATGGAATGTTTTCGTAATTGTTTATTAATTGATGGCTTAGTCTATCCGTGTATATTTCGGTATGTGGTGAAGCCGTTATTGGTTTTTTTGGTAAGTTTTTTTTACTACAATTGAAGGTATGCCTTTTAAATATTTAATAACAAGGTCCTTTTCGCCGCTTTCTATTCGTTTCGTTAATTCCTCTTTCAATTGATTAAAATACTGCTTTTTCGCTGGTGTTTGATCTGAGTAAATACTTATGTTTTCGGCTAGGTTCTCTTTATTTCGTAAGAGGTATTTCGGAGTATCTATATTGTTAAAGTAAACTTTGATAGGCCGGCTCTTGTTTGAAACATATTTCCCCTGTCTTAAACATTTAATTGGCTTAGGGCAGTCTTTATGCAATGATATCAACAACTTCATCACTTCTTCATTATCGTAATTTCGTCTCGTTTTAGTATTTTTTTCATTTACTTCTGGTATACCCGCAATAATAATATTTTTCTCACGATCGCATCGTTGATTTCGAGGATGAGGTTTTCGTAGCGAAAGACGGGCGATTTATCCGTTTAACTTTCATTGAGTTTTTCATTTTTAATCAGGGATATTTCATTTTCTATGTCTTTTATTTTGTTTTTAGTAGTAGTATGATCGGATTTAATATTTTCTGTTTCAGTGTTTATTTGTTCAAATCGTTGTGTAAAATTTTTTGTTGTTGATTTTATTGTTTTTATTTCATTTTTAATTTCCGATATTTCTTCACGTATGTAGTTCAGATTCGCATTTTGCGTTTTGCTGAATTCTTCTAAGAATTTCATGATGTCTGCTCTAAAACTTGCAAAATCTTTTCTATAATCAATTTCATCACCGCGTTCCTTCCTTTTTCTCAGACATACGTTAGAATGGAAATCCTTGTCACCGTGGGTGGGTAAATTAGGCACCGACCCGCTGGCGCTTCCGCTTTCGCTTATCAACATACCACTAGGCTGTGTTCTCTGTAGATTCATTGCGTCGCGTGCAAAGTATTCGTACGGGTGCGAATGTGATGAAAAATGGCAGCTGCTATCGTCATTCGCGGTAGTGAGCGGGGCTGCACACGTGCCACTGTGTACTTTTACACCAAAACACAAGATCTCAAGTTATTATGCACTTTGTAATTAACTAAACTTTAAATCTGTGCTATTAAGAATCACTTTTAATTGTCAAACTGATATTAAAATTACGATAATTTTATGCTAATTGACAAACACGTCTGCTTTCAACGAGCACTAGAGGCATTCCCCATATTTCTACCTAAAATATATTTAATATATCCATTACAGCCTATAAAAATCCACTGCTGAACATAGGCCTTCCTTGGGAAGCGGGTTGGCAACAGCAGTTTATTATTTCGAGTAGTTATCAGGAATATGCTGCTATCCATCTCCTGTTTCATTTTTCCTCTGTCGCCTCTTTCGCCATATTCGGGATGATATGGGCTAGTGAATATTTTTACACCGACTATACGGTTACATGGTCAATAATTAATATATATATAAGAACATAATTAAAATACGTTTTACTTGGTAGAGCGTAACGTCGTTTTGATTATGCAATCTAGAGCTTCCGCTAACTGTTTACAAAGAATTTATATTGTTTTTCTTTAAAGTTCCTTAGGTTCCACTTGACCGATCTTTTTTCGGAATAAAATTTTGTTCAGTAAAATTTATACCAGGTTCCGCCTTTATAAAAGCAGCGGCTACTATACTTTTCACATGAGAAACAAAAAACAAATGTTAAACAATATTATATCAGAATTCACACATACAATCCTAGTGTTTTAATTGAAAGACTAAATAATATGAATGCATTAAAACTTAATAATGATTATATCTGATTCTCAGTCAGTATATTCGCTGGTTTCAAGGCGATAAACGCATCAAATTTTATTAAATAGTGTTGTGTTAAGTTTCAAGAATGTGGGAGGAAATATTTTTGTTATCTTTCATGTGTTTGCTAACTGCGATATTATTTTCTAAATTTTTTTTTCATATTCAACCCAACGAAATAAAATTTCACCTGTTTTTCTTCATATATTACTTAAGCTGTAGTTTAGTATGCTTAGTGCTTTTGCCATTTTTCTTATTAAGGCCTAAAAGTGTTTACAATGCTAAGTAAGTATTTATCGTATACAATTTATTATATCGCAGTAGAGGTATAATAAATAAAGTTCTAACATTTTCTATACCTTCTACCCTTTTACTATACAACATAATTTTATATAAAAGTATAAAATACCTTCATTTATGTATTACATATGATGGTACTTCATTTAGAATTTGATCATATAAATAAAGTAGGTAGGTAGAATTGTTCGACAAAAAATGAGATTGACTAAAAAGTAGCTGTTCAGTGATGTCTTAATTATCGCGATGGCGAAAACAGGCATCGGAAACCAAGGGGCCAGCAGTTGGCTGACTTCATGGAGAAAGAGGGACTCTTTATGATGAAATCTTTCTTCCAGAAGCGGCCTCACAGGAAGTGCAACTGATCCCCGACGGTTCGACAAATAATTAGATTGACTTCAGTATGACGACTAGACGACAAATGTTTAGTGATATCTCATTGATCGTGAGGGTGAAAACAGGCAGCGATCACCGAATGGTGAGAGGTACACTGAACCTAAACGTTAAGTTGAAAAGGTCACGTCTAATGAAGTCAGCGCCACACCCCTCTCGTGCTCTTATCCAAAGTCCCGAAAACTTTCAGCTCGAGTTACAAAATCGTTTTCAGTGCCCAGAAGATTGCAATGCAGTAGACGATATGAATGACAAGCTCCTAAAAACTATACATGCGGTCGAAGCTAAGTCCAACAAGACTCATCGCAGAAGAAAACAAAACTCTCCGATCTCACTCTTACTCTCGTGGCTGTTAGACGGGAAATGAAGCTGCAGTCTTACATTAATTAGAATACATCATTTAAATAATCAAATTACAAGTAACATTTATAACGTTTTGCAGTTAACTTAATAACCCGTAAAATAAGATTTTATAATAAAAGCATACATAGCACATCTTTGAAAATACAGTTTCTGTAGTATTATATATTATGCTGCATTTAAAGCAATCAGTTCTGCTTTTAGAAGGAAATGTTACAAATAAAAACTTAAAAAATGATATGGTATTAAGGAACAAACATTAATAGATACTGTATTTTGTTTATCGCAGCACTTAGTATAATTATTGTAATGTTCAGTTTTAAAACCAAAGTCGTGCTCTTTCAATTGAATTCATTGAAGTAAAAACCAGTTTATACTATAGCAGTAGATAAGCGTTTGTAGCAAAAGCCAGTTGATATTTTAGCAATAAATTACAGTTTGTAGTAAAAGCCTATAAGATACACTAAGATACCCTAGCCATAGATAACTGTTCTGACTAGCAGGAGGTGTTTAGATTAATCTTATCGTAATTGATGACAGAAATTTAGATAATATATTGAAAACATAATTTAATTGAAAAATAATTTATTTACATCGCTAATAATAATAATGTTACCTGCCAGTTACTAGCCTCATGAATTCCAATTTCCAACGCTCGTTTTGTTCGTAAAAGGAAACCAAAGCACTGTTTATATCCCCCATGTTTTTTATTCCAAAATTTGAGATGATAATTAATGCAGTAAAAGCCATAATTTTATACATAGTGTTAAACACTGTAATGCAGTTTAGGGTGTAAATACCATATTTTGAAAGAAAGCGGCTTTCATTATCAGTGACATTGCTCTTTTGAAATATTCAGTTTAAAAAATTGTCGTAATAACCATATTGATAATACGGTTGGTTTTACGAAAATATTACAAAATTACAATGATAACCTTTTAAGATTCTATTACATTATGTAGAAAAAGCCATGCAAATAAAAAAACATCTCTTTTACAACTTTAGTTATAAAAAAATCCTCTCCAAATAGATCATTACGACTTATTGTGAGAACAAACTAGGTTCCTTAACCTTAATGGGGGTGCGTTGTAAAAGACACCATTTTTGCGAATATGAAATTTCCAAATGTACAGGTCGATAGAGGGCGCGAAACTGATTATAAAGGTGTAGAATACTCCTATTTGCAATTTTGGCCTTTACGACATTTGTTACCTAAACGGTCGAAATGTTGTTTTATTTTTCTTTAAACTGTAATATTATTATTTGTTTGCCCTGTTTATGTATGTGAATGTAAAAATAAAATAGATTTAAAAAATTCAGTTTTCATCCACTTCCGGACGTCCGAATAATCTTAAACATCTGTTGTATTGAAAAATTGTGCTGGTTAGTGTAGAGAACCGGAGTCCGTTTTTTACTAGAAATGAGGCATTTCATGTTCATCATCATTACAGCCCTTCACAAGTCCACTGCTGAACATAGGCCTCCCCCAAAGAATGCCACAAAGCACGGTCCTGAGCCACCTGCATCCATCGACTTCCTGCATGTCTTACCAGGTCGTCACTCCATCTCGTGGGGGGACGCCCTACACTTCGCCTACCGGTACGAGGCTGCCACTCGAGAACCTTTCTTCCCCATCGGTTGTAGGTTCTTCGAGCTATATGGCCGGCCCACTGCCACTTCAGCTTACTAATCCGTTGGGCTATGTCGGTCACTCTGGTTCTACTGCGGATATCCTCATTCCTAAGTTTGTCACGCAGAGAAACTCCGAGCATAGCCCTCTCCATAGCTCGCTGAGCGACCTTGAGCTTCCTCATACGGCCAGCAGTGAAGGACCACGTCTCAGTTCCGTAAGTCATCACTGGCAACACGCACTGGTTGTACAATTTCGTTTTAAGGTTTTGAGGTATGTCTGACGAGAAGATGTGTCGTAGCTTCCCGAACGCTGCCCAGCCGAGTTGAATCCGTCGATTGACCTCTCGGTCGAAGTTGGACTTACCTAGTCGGACTATTTGTCCCAGGTAAACATACTCGTCAACAACTTCGAGCTTAGTGCTCCCAACAACTACCGGCATAGGTGTGACATGGACATTAAACATGATCTTTGTTTTGTCCATGTTCATCTTAAGACCTATCCGTTGGGAAACACTATTGAGGTCATTGAGCATAGTGCTTAGGTCCTCCAGCGATTCTGCCATAAGGACTATATCGTCGGCAAATCGAAGGTGAGTGATGTACTCGCCATTGATGTTGATACCGTATCCTTTCCAGTCCAGAAGCTTGAAAACGTCTTCCAATGCAGCGGTGAAGAGTTTCGGGGATATGACGTCACCCTGTCTTACACCTCTCTGCAATTGGATAGGTTTCGTATTCTGGTTCTGTACTCGGATAGCCATCGTAGCCCTACTGTACAAGCACTTCAACACTTCGATATACCGACAGTCAACTTGGCACCGCTGAAGGGACTGCAGCACCGCCCAAATTTCGACGGAATCAAAGGCTTTCTCATAGTCCACATACGCCAGACATAGTGGCAAATTGTACTCTTCGGACTTCTGTACAACTTGCCGAAGGGTATGTATGTGGTCTATGGTGCTAAAGCCCTTTCGGAAACCGGCTTGTTCGGGAGGCTGGAAGTCGTCAAGTCTGCGCGCGAGACGATTCGTAATGACTCTCGAAAACGGCACGTAGACGCGGCTCAGAAGGGAAATCGGTCTGTAGTTCTTCAAGAGAGCGTTGTCACCTTTCTTGAAGAACAAGACCACCGCACTTCTGCTCCACGCCTCCGGTGTAATGCCACCATGGAGGACAGAATTAAAGAGCTTCTGAAGGACTTCAAGTACCGGTCTTCCACCCGCTTTCAGAAGCTCCGCTGTAATTCCATCCTCGCCTGGGGCCTTACCGTTTTTAAGGTGCTGGAGAGCCATCCTAATCTCGCTCAGACTGACATCCGGGATATCTTCGGAATAGTGTCGGATGAGACTCGCTCTTGGATCGTTACTCACACTTGCGTGTGGCTCCAACGATGATGTGTACAGCTGCCCATAGAACCTCTCAATCTCACTCAAAATCTCAGGTGTCCCGGAAACGATGCTGCCACATTCTGTCTTCAGCTTTGACAGTTGGCTCTTTCTGGCAGACAGATCTCTGGCAAAGACTTTGGAGCCTTGGTTCCGCTCGATCGCTTCTTCAATACGAGCTGTATTGAAGTTGCGTAAGTCCCGCCGCATGCATTTGGAGATCTGTCTGTTCAGATGCCTGTATGCTGTCAAGTCTGTTGAAGAATGTAGCTTCATCTCCCGTCTAACAGCCATGAGATTAAGAGTGTGATCGGAGAGTTTTTGTGTTCTTCTGCGGCGGGTCTTGCAGAACTTAGCTCTGACCGCATGGACAGTTTCCACGAGCTTGTCATTCATATCGTCCACTTCATTGCAGTCTTCCAGGCACTGAAAACGGTTTTGCAGCAGTGGACTTGTGAAGGTCTGTAATGATAATGATGATGATGAGGCATTTCATGTTAGTCCTCAGGCGTCACAACGTATCTTTAATTTTATTCTTAATCGAGGATAGATGTAGATGTCTATGGGCCACGGCATCAACTTACCATCAGGTGGACTGTGTGCTCGTTTGTCAACTTTATTATATTAAAAAAATTGCAGACATTAAAAACAGATGATAATATCTACAATATTTCTTGACTAACCTAGTATTCTCACAAGGATCGTCATCACAGTTCGTGATGAATGCGTGTGAAGTTTTCTCAAGCTCTAATAATAATATAAAATTAAAATGAGTACATACAGAAATTACAAGAATTACATAATGTAGTAATGAATGGGCTCTAGCTCAGCATAAATGTTGCAGTTGCCTACAACGCTGTTATTCTGCCAGCGCCCAACATACGAACAGTACAGTACGCGCGCATCCCTGCTCATATTGCCTTTAATCATAACTGTTCACATTAGGGTACATACCGTGGAGCCCCGAGTATTAGCCAGTTCAAATTAGTAATCAAATATATATATATATATATATTACCATTATTTTTTACATTTTTTTTAAAATAAACTCTACAATAGTACATACTCTACAAATTTTTATAATAATAAATAATGTGTCATTCTTCATCTTCTTTATATTATGTGAAATAAAAAATTTTGATTTATGACCATATGTGAAGTTCCGTATTCTTAATCATAGATACAATCTTACACTTTATTTTTTACCTGCGACTTCTTATGCGTAAAACACAAAAAAGTCTTTAGGTTTTGGTATAATAACTCTTTTGCAAATAGCTTAGTTACCGAAAACCACTTTAAACTTAGTTTTATTCTAGAAGTTTGAAATAAAAAGAACCATGCCTACTTTTCATACATTTAAAAACCTGATAGTAAAAGTTTATGTATAGTTATAAGCTATAGTAAAAAAAATTCCTGCAAGTTTAGAAAATAATGTCATGTAGTCATTTTACGATTTAAACAATGTTACTCTTTAGCTTGGGATTTGCCGTTACCAAATATTTATTTTTTCTATCTCTTATTAATGTTCTATCACCAATTCCTCTGAGATTATACTGAGAAAAATCTTGTGTATCCCACAATATTTCTATTCTATATGATCCATGATAAACATACAAAATGGCACAATACACAACGAGACGCAAACGCAAAAAGTGATTCTCTTTGGCAACAACGAACCGAAGGACTGCGCCGATGCCAATCGTAGTACTGTCAAATGTCAAAAAAATCCGTTTCACTCGTGTGCACTCGATGACATACTGCATGATTAATTTATTTAATTATTATATTATTTTTAATTAATCTGTACTACACAAAGAGTAATAAAGAAACATGTACTTACTGATTAAATAAAAACAATGTTTAAAAAGCATTGGTGTGGTAATCTGCAGTTTCTCATTGTATCCTAGACAGACCTAAAAGCTAGCCAAAAGCAACTATAATAGCAACTAAAATATGCCACAAATCGAAAGCTATAACTATCAAGTGCGTAAGAGATTATAATTATGCGATAAGATCGTATGCTATTCCCAACAAAATCAAAATCCAAAAAAATACTATCGGGTTTTTTATAAATATACACTCTGGGCAGGTTTCGTATCCAGGACCTGCGGCACAGTAACAAAGCACTATAACATCACACGGTCATCGTTAATCGCCATAATAAACCAATTTTCTTATATTTTTCGTTACTTTTACGCGCTTTAAAAAATTAAATTTCCTTTTATGTATGTATGAATGTAATGGAATTTGGTAATGCCATCTATAAATAACTTCCATTACTTATGCTCATCCTTAGAGAGTAGGGCCACTGTCGTGATAATGTTAAAAGAGTTTACTACGGAGAATTACAGCGTAGCTTGGGTTCTTTTGTGTAAAAGATTTAACAATAAACATATTCTTAATAACAATCATTTGAAAGCCTTGTTTAATATTGAGTCTATAAGTAAGGAATCACATAACGCTTTACGATTTATTATAGATCATGTTTAAAAAAATTTACGTGCTTGAAATAAATTATGAGTACCCACCGATCGTTGGGACCACGGAGCAAATACAAAGAGGAGATGGCATAAGCAACTGTGCACTATGATTCCAACTAGGTCCTGACGTCATCACAGTAGGCGTGGCTTTACTTAGTATACTGTCAGCGTTCGTCCTGTGCGCTTATGTGTCGAAAAACCTAAATTGCTGTATTTTCGTATTTTAATACTACTATGAAAACTATACTACTAAGAAAAGGATGAAGTGTTATGTTTCATCGCGTAAAAACTATTCAGATAGACGCTCCGGTGCTATGGATGGCATCACATTTCATTTGTAATTTTATACTTAATTTATCAACAAGGTTCTAGAAAAATCTCTGCGTCGGTTTTCAAATGTAATTATTTAATTATAATATATTTATATAAGACAGTAGGTGGTGACACTTCTTGTCATGGGGACTAAAAATATAATATAAAAGTACATAGAGCTCAGTATTGGTAAAATAACAATGATGTTGAAATTTGTTTTGCATTCACGGCTAAAGAATTATTAATCACCAAAATAATATTTTTATAGTGTTGATAATAATTTTGTAAACAGGCCGCCATCTATAGTCAAGGTAGTTAAACTACATTGCAACATCGATATGGAAAATAGTAAAGTGGGCGGAACTTAACATCCCCTCACCCCGCAAATTGTCACGCGTTTTTACATAGTGAAATCTAATTACCATTTTTAATTATCATTTAAAAAGAATTGTAGGTAAAAATACTAGCTTAACAACAGCTTCGAAGAAATCACTACACTGTTTGCACAAATCGAAGCGATTTTAATTTCACGACCGTTAACGCAAATATCAGAATATCCATCAGATTTTTTACCTTTAACCCCGGGTCACTACCTGATTGGGCGACCAATGGTTGCATTGCCATCATCTGTCACGAATAGAATCAGTATTAATCGGTACCAGCTATAGAACGTCTCCGACAAAGCGTTTGGCGTCAGTGGAGCAAAGAGTTTCTTAATAGCCTTCAGCCACATCTGCGATGGTGCAAGCAAGGGCAGGGTATTCAAATTGGTGATTTAGTCGTTATACGTGACGAACACCTGCCGCCTGTGAAATGGCTACTGGGACGAATTAATCTTTTTCGCGTATATTATGATGATACGGACAATGTTTGCAGAGTTGCTGACATCTCGACACCTAAAAGAACTATTAAAAGATTAGTTACCAAACTCTGTGCTCTTGTTACCTATCCTGAAGGATCTTCTTGAAAGCGAAGCTTTCACGGGGAGCTTCCCCCTACCCTTGAAAGCTAAGAAGTTTACGTATAGAAGACGCCGCCAGTGACTGCGGGGCCACAGACGGGGTCACCCTTATGTATTACTATGCTCTTTGGGGTCACCGTCGCAACATCAATAGCAGCGAGGAGCGGCGCAGCGCCGCCATTACATGCAACGCAACGCAAATCGAAACATCGTTTGTCAAAGGCTAATATTATAATATTGTAATAACAAATTAAATTTATCTATACTTATATATGGTCCATTATTCCTATCAACACACATAAATAAAATTGAGGTGTTTGTCTGTAATATCGAAATAACAGTATATTATCGAGCTCGGGAGGTGATTATTCGCATGCCATCATGACTTCATGAGCATCCATTTGTAAAAATAATATTCAGAGCTTTTCTTACTGAGCCTTAATATTTCGCTTATAACAGGTTCGGCGCGGCTATTATGAAACATATAACAAAACTGTATGGCCTAAAATGGGAGCTACGTAGAGGCGAAATATTAGCTGAGGAACGTGGAGCCATCGTTGTTTCAAACCATCAGTCGTCTCTCGATGCTTTAGGTGTGTTATTAATAAATAGTAATCAATGAGATGCTTATTAGACTAAAGATATAAAAATCTAACATTATTAATCGAGGGCTTCATCAGATTTTTGATGAAACATTGACTGGTAATATGTTAAAAAAAAATCACAACTACTAATAGCAGAAAATAAAATTATAGAATTAAGGGCATACATTAGCAAGAGAGGAGATTGCAACCACTCTAAACCAGACATTGCACTATCGAAATTGAATATAACGAGAATTGTGTCACATCAATTTTACGTGGTAGAGCCATGCTGCAACTATATATTAATGTATAATAAATAGTATAGTTGTAGCACAAATGGGTCGGCTCGACTGGGGTAGGACCACGCTCTAACAGAATACCAGCGTAAAATAGCAACTTAATGCTGCTGTGTTTCGTATGGTGAGTGTAGAGAACCGGAGACCTATTTTACTGGAAAAGAAGCATTCTAACGTAGTCCTCACGGCTGACAACGCAGCTGCATTTTAATTCGCAAGCGAAGATAGATTTAGATGTCTATGGGCCACAGCAACCACAGGTTCAGGTTAACTGTGTGCTCGATTGTCACTCTAATTCTATAAAAAAAAACATGGAAAGACCTCGTGGCAATGAAATTTCACTCAAACCTACAATATTTACAAATATTAAGTACGACTGAAATACTAACCCATACCACAAAGTCGTATAATCTTTCAAAAGTAATAGTAAAACTTAATTTTTATCCTATTAAATGCTTTTTTTTTCAGGACTGTACAACATCTGGGAATTGGCAGATAAATTAACAGTCGTTGTTAAAAAAGAATTATTGTATATCATGCCGTTTGGATTGGCAGCATACCTCGCTGGAATCATATTTATAGATAGAAGGAACTCGAAACACGCATATGATCAACTTAAAATTACGACAGACGTTATGGTGAAAGAAAAGGTTTGAAAATGATATATGTTATATTTCAAAGATTACAATATTATTATATTGAAAATTGAAGTGACAAATAAACTTACAGACCATCTAATGGTAAGTGGCTACTGCAGCCTATTGTCATCTGCAATAAACTTCAAACAAAGAAGGCTACAAAAATGCATTGTCACTTCTTACCGGAACACAGCAATGCAAGCATTAATGTTTAGTAGCAGAAATTGACAGGCAGAAAAGAGTCGTACCATCGAGAAAAGTTGAACTGGACATAATACTGGAAAACTTTTTTTACCGTCTGGAAAAAAATCCGGTTTATCAGATGAACGAAGTAGAAGAAACTTTGACACTGATATTATTGAAAAAAATTTTTCAAACTATGAAATTGATCTATCAATAAATACTGCTAATTTGACGTAAGCTTTCCATACTAAAAACAAAAGTTATGAAATAAATAAATAAATCAATTAAAAACTATCGAAATTAAAATCATACGGACCTTACTTTACGAGCGGCAATAATATCAATTAGTTTGTAACGCGATGCTATAGGGTGGGTGTACCAGTCCCAAACCAGGCACCAATGATTGACCACTCATATGTTCAACTGAATAAATTAAGAAATGGCGGGCTTCTTTTAAGAATTCAATAGTTTTGTTATGTAGCCTAGACTATAACCAAACTTCCGAACATAATTTTTTGCGAGAGTAAACGTAAAATATCGATACGTAGCTCTTTTTCTCAGACCAGTGTCTCGTTTACTGCCTTTCGGCCGCCATTACAGTTAGAAGTGCACGTCGACATAGTAAGTTCAATTTTTTAATATTACCTATTATTTCCTAATTGCTGACATCAAGTTGTATTATTTTAATAGTTTTGTGTTTATTTAAGCGCTATGCGCTGTTATTTTTATTAAATAATGACATTATCAAGTATTTTTAAAGGTGGTTAAGTACTTTTTTTTTTTTGCGGATGGAAAATCATCAAATGACGCCTTTCGCTCTGGGTGGAGCGGAAGGGAGTGTCAGACTTTTACTGACTAAAAACCATCCGTGTTCCTTCAGTGCCCTTACGTTCCGGAGCCGCGGTATCTCTTTCGAACAGCCCGCAGCCCCGGCAGGCGTCGGCCCTTGCGGGCCCCTTCACGCTGCTGACAGCTCTTTGAGGCGCGCGTGGAACAAAACGCGCCGTCGACACGGCCTGTCGTCGTTAGACGGACGGACGGCGAGCTACCCATTGCTCGCCGTCCACAGGCCCGCGCCTACGGTGGCCGGGGGCCACGACGTAGCCCCCGACGCCCGGGGCGTCTCCCGCGGCGGCCGGGAAGGAAAGCTGCTGCTCTCTCCTTCTCCCGCTCCGCCACCTCCTTCGCTAGCATCACTGCTTCGCAGAAGGTGGTGACGGCATCCCATTCCGTCTCGCTCCGGATCATGGCTTCGACCAGGGCCGGACGCGAGAGGTCGCCGCCGCCTATCGCCGCTACGAGGACACGGCGGTGCTCCGCCCAGGCAGGGCACACCTCCACGGTGTGCTCCACCGTGTCCTCCGGTCGATCCTCGCAGTGGGAGCACCCGGGCGTTTCCTCCCGCCCGATTCGGTGCAGGAACCTCCCGAACACACCGTGTCCGGTGAGGACCTGCGTCAGGCGGAAGGTGAGGACGCCGTGGCGTCTCTCAAGCCACTCCTCAAAGAGGGGTCTTATCGCCGCTATAGTGGCGTGCCCAGCACGGGGTTGCGACAGTCGCTCTCTCCATGTCGCCATGAGATCATGCCGGAAGTCTGTCCGCTGCACGACAACTTGCCGTGGCAGCGGGGTTTCCCCCCGGCATAGTGCCTCCGCGCGCCATTCGTGTAGGCGCGCGAGGACTATCGCCTCCAGATCCCATGGTGGCAATCCGGCAAGGAGGCACGCTGCCTCGCGGGAGATCGTGCGGTAGCCGCGAACCATTCTTACGGCAACCACCTTTTGGGGCGCGTTCAGGTGGTGGACGGCAAGCCGCGCCAAACCACGCGCCCACACCGGGGCCCCGTAAAGGGCCATGGACCGCACAATCCCCGCGTAGAGCCTCCGGCAGGAGGCGTTTGGCCCCCCCAGGTTCGGCAGGAGCCGCCTGAAGGCAGCCCCGGTCCGTTCCAGTTTGGGAGCCAAACGTCGGAAGTGCTCAACGAAGTTCCATCGGCCGTCGAGGACGAGTCCTAGGTACTTCAACGTCGACTCGACGCCGATGGATACCCCTCCTACCATCGCTGAGGATCTCGGTGGTGGCCTGTTCCGAGGACCATGGAAGTGCATGGCCTCGGACTTGTGCAGAGCCACCTCAAGACCCAAGGTGGTTAAGTACTGGAACACACCTTGTACTGAGTTCCTATTGTTGACCAACTGGTTTGCAACTGGTTGCCTATGGTGTTTCATTTTTTGTACTTTTTTTCCATAGTGATGCTTTTGTATGACAATTTAGAGTTTAAAGCCAATTACTAAAATCGTTTTATGCGGTGTGCCCCAGTTGTTGACCACTGGCTTACTATTGGTACACAGTAATAAAAGAGTGTTCCCATGGATGACCACCACATTAGAGTTTTAACTTTTTTCGTTGTTTTAGATTGAAGATAGACTCAAAAAGACATTTTTTAAATTTACAGAGCTAAATCTGCTGAAATGTATCGATGAAATTCATAAAGGTACTAAAATAAGGCGAACATTTCGAAAATAACCGACTATTATAAACTAACTGAAAATGAGACATTCTCAACGGAAAATGGGATCACTAACTATCTTAACCCTACAAGAAGAGTTTGTATTATGTAGGTGTATTAACACTAAGGCTAAAAATTATTGTTTATTGGAAACAGCCAAATAATAAGAGAGCACATTTTCAACTGATTTTGGATCTGGACTATCAATCCAACAGCCAGAAGAAACGGATGTTATCCTACCCCCACAGGATTTTTTATAGTATAAGGGTGACAAATGAGCACAGAATCCAACTGATGATATGTGGTTGCTGTGGCCTATAGACATCTACATTATCCTCGATTACGAATCAAAATGCATATGCGTTATCAACCGTGAGGACTAAGGTGGAATGACGAAACAGAAGCGTTAAGCTGATATTTTACGCTGGTATACTGTGAGAGCGTGGTCGTTCCTCGGTCCAACCGACCCATTCGTGCTACAACTATACTACTTATATAACTGCAATATGGCTCCACGTAAAAAATCTTGAAGCAACACTACCAAAATCCAAAGGTAGCCAAGGACCTAAACAACTATTTCCCTGGGAAAATAAAAAACATTGATGGACGTAACGCTGAAGTCAGTACTATGGTGTTATCATCTGCGACCATTTTCAAATGGCTTGAAAAAGAAGATTATATGTATGACTGTGACAGCATCATTGAAGTTATAAAAGCACCTGTTTCTATAAATACCAGAGGTTCCTACAAGGTTGAAGAAATGGCCAAATTTATGCAATGAATCCTACAAATATTATAAATGTGAAAGTTTGTGAGGATCTATGGATGTTTGTTACTCTTTCAAGCAAAAACTACTGAATGGATTTTAATGAAACTTTACAATAATATAGCTTATACATCAGAATAACACATAAGCTATAATTCATCAAATATATATATTATAAGTATTGGCCAAACTATAACAATAAATGTTAAGTAAGTCTGACATAAATCTGTCATCTGAGAGCTATTTTGGCGTGAACACGCATCACGCAAAAAAATGTGAACCGATTTGGATGGGACTTTCACTGGCAGATAGCTAATTTTGTAAGGAGTAACTTAGGCTACTTTTATTTTAGGGCTCCGCGCAAAAAAAAATCCACACGGGTGAAGTCGCGGGGAACAGCTTGTATAAGATAAAGCTTTCTAGTTCTTTTCGTAATTTTACGATTTATGAATAAGATTTTGTCAAATTCGCCGACCTCAATATGATGAGACTGATTTATTTAATTCTAAATCTGTGATAGGTGATACTGATAATTTATGTGCAAAGCTATTTTTCTATTGTAATTTGCCAAAGCGTTATTAACGTTAATGTTCTAATTTTCATTTTTGTCTACTAATTAGTTACCTTCGACTGTGCCATTAAAATCGGTATAAGTCTAGGTAGATAAACTTTCAGTCATCATATGAAAGTCAATTTGTGTAACAAAATAGTGTTTTATTTTTAATTAGCTACCTTTTCTTGATAAGTGTTTCAGTGGTCAACTATTGGCGCAAAAGTGGTCATTTATTGGAGCGCACTGGTCAAACTTAGGCACATTCCCGTTTTTCGTATAATTAATGAAATCTATAATAAACTGAAATATTTGGAATCAAATCATTTATCTATATTGCAACATTAGTGATCAATAAACAACTTTGTATATACATTTCTATGTTAAAACTAAATAATACCAGTTCAGAGTATTATAAGTCAAAATGTGTCCTTAACTGGTTTGGGACTGGTACACACACCCTACATTGAAAACAACCGACACTCGACGCACCCGTGGCCTATTTGATATCCTTTCTATACCATTGCCACATGAGTAAAGAAACTGTACAGAGGCAAAGCTTCTAAGAAGCTGTCAAAATTTTTACCTATTTTGTTAGGCTTGGCACAGGAGGATAATATTAAGTAAACAAAACGTTTATCAGCATTTTAATAGATAATTAAGATATAATATTTTTTACAAACTACGTATTCTAAATATTTATTTTATAATTATTGTTCTTCAACAATTTGTTGTGACTTTTAATTAAATGGTAAATTAATATAATAATAATATAATATAGTAATAAATATAATATAATATAATTATCTATTTGAAATTTGAAAGCACTCGTATTTCATAACAAATATAAACTCTTGCACACATTTTAATATTTCACTACCAATATTTCCAATGTTTCTTTCGAGGTCAAAATATTCGCGAAATTTTTGCTCAAGCGATGAGAATGCTTTTTAACATGAGCTATTCGATGCATTCGCGTGTATTAATATCTGTCTATGTAACG